ATTTTTTGAGGTTAAGCATTCAAACTTTGCAGTTAGTGTACCGTTATTACGTTCTAAAAACTGACCAAAAATGAGGCGTCTGCGCCCTGTAGGGGCGTGGCAAATCGGAAAAACCTGTATATTCTACAGTATTAGAGCGAAACTTAACTACTATATTGTTGATGGGATGTGAATGAGTATTCCGCAGTCGGTAACGCCCGACTGCAACGTTCTTACTTGTTTATAACATCTTTTAGTCGGTTTGGCATTGAAAGGACTAACTTCTCGGTATAATTTTTATCTATTTTTTCCAGAGCTTGCAAATGAGAGTTGAGCGTTTTTTCGTTTATTCTCTTTCTCGCATCATACCCAAAAAAAAAATTGTGTAGACACGTCTCTCTCTGAGCGTCACTCTCTTTTTTCTTTAGCATCTGTTTCGCTCAGACGCAATGCGATCACTCATTCGTGTGACGCTCTCACATGAGTGTCGCGTAAAACTAACACGATTTTCCCTCACACAAAGCCTCTCAGCAAAAAACACTTTGACTAACAAACTCAGCAGAAAATGTTTTTGCCTTCGTGTGCATGTAAATACACGCATACATACATACAAAAAGAACGCAGCAATCGCGCGTGATTACCCATACAAACGCAACTTACCGTTACTTCCTTTAACTCAAGCACACGATCAGTGTTTGACTTGAGGAAACGAAAACAGAAACAACTATCTCCCTCAGAGCGCGAGAGAGCTAAGCCAGACGCGACAAAAACACTTTCTGTCTGAGTTTTTTTGACTGTGTCACTGAAAGACACTTTTTGCAGACAACGAAAAAGTGTTAACAGTTTTTTGCAAGCTATGATTTTTTCCCATTCCTCTTTTAAAACCTCTATAAGCTTGGGTTTTGATGAAATATGATGCTTCCTGATATTTTTTTCCAACATATGCCAACAATTCTCTATTGGATTTAAATCAGGACTTTGGGGAGGTGTTTTTAATAGATGTGGCGTATTATAGGCTAAGTACATTTTGGTATTATGAGCCATGTGTTTAGGGTCATTGTCTTGTTGGAAAAAGTAAGACCTCGATAATCCAAGCTTAGCAACACTTGGCACCAAATTTTTTTTTTAATTTCAATATATTTAAGGTGGTCCATCACCCCATCAATTATTTCAAAATTTCCGACACCAACCGCAGCCATACAGCCCCACACCATAACGCCACCACCGCCATGCTTCACTGTCTTCAGTGTGTGTTTTGGTTGGAGTGTCTCTCCGGTTCTTCTCCACACGCGATGTCGCCCATCCGATCCAAATATAATATATTTGGATTCGTCAGAAAAAAAAAACATTACGCCAAAACTCGACTGGCGCATTTTCATACTGTTTTGCGAACTCTAAACGTTTTTTTGCGATTAGCGCTGCTTACAAAAGGTTTTCGTCTAGGTGTGCGCGACTTATACCCATTAGATACTATAGCCTTCCTTATTGTTTCTGGGTGGACGACTTTATTTTGAGATTGTAAAATCTGTGTAGATATCGTATTTGCGCTAACAAATGGATCCGACGCGACTATTCTCTTAATATTAAGCTGATCTCCGTTTGTTAGCTTGCTCGGCCTTCCGGATTTTCGCTTGTTTTCTACTCGCCCTTCGTATTTAAATCGCCCAATTACGGATTGGATCGTTGACCGACTGCGAGACAATATATTCGCAATTTCCGAATATGATTTCTGCTGCTTAACGTGCATATTTAATATTAGTTGACGTTCTTCTATGGTTAAATATTTGCCCGGCATTTTAAATAAATATTTGTCCGCTTAGCGATTCAAATTGAAGAAAATTTCTTGCAAAATGTGGCGACATTATGCCCGAGCATGCAAATACATACATTGGAAAACAACCGTTATCATTTTCGGTTTCTGTCCGCAGTTAAAGTTCTAGGAAAGTACGGTGTACGAAGACTTTATTGGAGCCAAAATCGTGTCTTTTTATGTACTTTTAGTTATAACTACTAAACTAAGCAACATATTGACATAATTCTTTTTGTAAATTAAGATTAATATATAAGATAATAAGACTGCATCAAAATTTTTATTAGTTTTTTACTATTTATATGTTTTTTTCGTTCCCAAAGAAAAAAGTTGCTGCTGTACGAAGACATTATTGGTTCACTGTATATATTGCTGTTTCTTTTCCAAGAACTGCGGCGCCACTGATCTAGCTATGTTTTGTCTGTACATACAAAACTGTCCACTGCTCGCCGCGGAACTGCGACGCGATTTCTCTTGCGTATATGTATGTATATTTGTATGTGTATACCTATATGCACTGCCACTAAATTTTATACATATATTTATTTCGAACAACTAACAAAACTAATTATCTATTTATTTAACTTTTAATTTATTTTTCTTATTCGTGCCTGGGCCCATAACCTGTTGAAAAACCAGGCCCGAAATAAGATCACACAGTAGTTGTTATACTTTGTATTACGACTTATATTTTGATTTAAGCACGGCACAGCACATCAATCTACACAGCTCAAGAATCGCAACAAGACAGATCGCGACGCAGCAACATTCAATGCGTGCTAGTCAAATTCGTCAGACACATAATGTTTCTAGACTAGCGTCGCGACACTCAACATTACGATCGATGTTGCTTTTGCATGAAAATGAATTTCACAATGTTACAAACTGTTGCTATATGCTGCAACATGAGTGTTTCTGAACATAGTGTTGAAGTTCAATATTCAACAAGGTCAATAGTAGTATTACCATTATTACTGGTTAGGGAAGAATCTGAATCTTCATCGAACATATAACAAGTTTAGTTTTCTTTTTATTTTCTAAATCTTGCTTAAATTTTCTTATTTCAGCTACAAAAATATCCCTAACGATATTCTTGTAATCTTTTGGGACCCACTTTAATTTAAACAAGTAAGAAAGCTCTAGTCGAGACTACTCGACTACGAGATCCCCTGAACCCTTGGAGCAATAGCTATTTCAATAATTTTTCGCGTCTTACAGCTTACACAAGAAACACGCACACACACACACACACACGCACGCACGCACGCACACACAGGCATACATACACATACACACACATACATACACACACACACACACACACACACACACACACACACATACACAAACAATTACATACATATACACACACACAAGCATAAACACGCATGGGCGGCAGTGAGCGCTTACTATGAGAACTTAATTGCTTAATAACTTTTTTGTGGACGTACGATCTTCATGAAACTTTCAGATTATGATTATGACATGGATATGCATGTAATTGCCAAAGCACAAGTCTCTAGTATTTGAAATACGCTTTTTACAAAAGTGAGGGTGAGGGGTGAATTTAGAGGTGGGGGGTAAATTTTTAACAAAAACCGAAATTGTATAAATTGCATATAGGCATACATTAAAAATTTGGAGACTCTAGCAATAAAGGTGTAGAAGATATAATTTTATAACTGGTTTTCGATAAGGTTTTTTATCGATAAAAAGATCGGGATGAGTTATCGATTTTTAATGATAAACTTGATATGCGCGCTGTAATTACGAACATTTAAAAAAAAATTGAAGTCTCTAGCTCTTATATCTTCTGAAATCGACGCGTTCATACATACGGACAGACGGACAGACGGACAGGGCCAAATCAACTCAGCTCGTCGCCCTGATCAAGAATATATATACTTTGTGGGGTCTGCCACGCCTCCTTCTGCCTGTTACATACATTTCAACAAAACCATTATACCCTGATTTCCCATTGAAAATGGGTTCAGGGTATAAAAATGGATGAGATACACTTGCGATTACAGCATCTTTAGCTTTGGGCTCATTATACCCTGAACACATTTTCAATGGGAAATCAGGGTATAATGGTTTTGTTGAAATGTATGTAACAGGCAGAAGGAGGCGTGACAGACCCCACAAAGTATATATATTCTTGATCAGGGCGACGAGCTGAGTTGATTTGGCCCTGTCCGTCTGTCTGTCCGTCTGTCCGTCTGTTCGTCCGTCCGTCTGTCCGTCTGTCCGTCTGTCCGTATGTATGAACGCGTCGATTTCAGAAGATATAAGAGCTAGAGACTTCAAATTTTTTTTAAATGTTCGTAATTACAGCGCGCATATCAAGTTTATCATTAAAAATCGATAACTCATCCCGATCTTTTTTTATCGATAAAAACCCTTATCGAAAACCAGTTTTAAAATTATATCTTCTACACCTTTATTGCTAGAGTCTCAAAATTTTTTAGGTATGCCTATATGCAATTTATACAATTTCGGTCTTTGTTAAAATTTACCCCCCACCCATAAATTCACCCCCTCACCCTCACTTTTGTAAAAAGCGTATTTCAAATACTAGAGACTTGTGCTTTGGCAATTACATGCATATCCATGTCATAATCATAATCTGAAAGTTTCATGAAGATCGTACGTCCACAAAAAAGTTATTAAGCAATTAAGTTCTCATAGTAAGCGCTCACTGCCGCCCATGCGTGTTTATGCGTGGTTGCTTGTGTGTGTATGTGTGTGTGTATATGTGTGTGTGTATGCGTTTGTGTATGTATGCGTGTGTGTGTGTATGTGTGTCTGTGTGCGTGTGTGTGTATGTATGCCTGTGTGTGCGTACGTGCGTGTGTGTGTGTGTGTGTGTGTGTTTCTTGTGTAAGCTGAAAGTCGCGAAAAAGTATTGAAATAACTATTGCTCCAAGGGTTCAGGGGATCTCGTAGTCGAGCAGTCTCGACTAGAGCTTTCTTACTTGTTTAACTTTAAAAATTTTTCAAATCTCTTTTTAAGACTTTTCTGCATTAACTCAATTAGATCAATACAATATTTAGGATCATCCATTTTTAAATTATTAAATTATTCGTAGCATTCTAAACAGTTCTGGAAGAAGACGGCCGTAATACGTGTGTTTGTCACCTTCCAAGCTTTTAATGCCATCAGCAATGGGTTTTGAGCATTTTATGTACTCTTCAAGAAAGAGCAATTTAATTTCTTTAAAAACGGATAACCCAAGTTTCTTTAAAGTGTCATTTAAATTTTCCTTAACGGACAAAAGGTTTTTAATTGAGTTATAATACGAATTCCACCGAGTTGCACAAGGTGATGTAGGAGATTTTCCAGTCATTTCGGTATATATTTCACAGGACTTAGGAGATCTAGAACACAAATTCCAAATTGCCTGACATTTTCCCATAGATGCATCATAAAGTTTTTTGTATGACTTATTTAACGATCTTGCCTTCTCCATATCGTGTGATGCTATTAAATGCACATCTCTCATGGTTTGGAAGTTGCCACTGCTCAAATTCTTCAGACGACTCAGGAAATTGTATTAGTTGGAGCTCGTCATCATGGTCATTATCTTCTTTAATGTCTTGTGGAAGTTTAATGGAATCTGGATTTTCAACGGCGTCTTCATGCTGTCCGAACGATGCAAACGCGTTAACCATGTTGGATCCATTGTCGGTGGCAGTCTTAAATGTTTTGTTGGGGCTTAAATCAAACTCCAAATGAATTTCCACGATAAGTTCAGCTACCTTGTCGTAGCTGTGCGTTCCCTTGAATCGTCTGCAAGCTAGAGTCGCGCTTTTACGTTCAAACGTATGGCTTTCAATCCAATGTACAGTTACAACCAGATAGCTTCTTCTTGAAGAGGACCATATGTCCGCAGTGGTGCAAACAAAATCTACTTTTTTCAAAGTTTCTTTTGTATTTTCCAAATATTTGCAGTATTTTGCAGTTATTTGTTTATTACAACTCTGCCTGCACATTATTTTTGGCCGAACAGTTGATTGCTGTGTTCCTTCAAGCAAAGCTTTAAACGATGGATGTTCTACAATCGAAATAGGCGACATGGTGTTTACTACAAAGCTTACAATTAAACTATCTAAATCAACAGAGTTTTTATAGACAGCCAAATCAATTTGTTTTAATGATTTAGCAGCTGGACTATCACCACCAACATTGTCGTGCTTCCTTTTTTTCATGGTTGATATAAATTTTAATTTTTCATATTGTGTCAACAAATCAACATGTCCTTTCGTCTGCAAAAAAAATAAAATTAATTTAAATGCAAAAAAAAAAAAAAAATTGCTTTGCTTACTTTTAAGTGATTCAAAAAGTTTGTTGTAGAATGTAAACTTCCCCTCAATGGCTTAGAGCATTTTTTACAAGCTGCAGTAACATTTACATTGTTTTCAGGATCAATTTTTATATCCTTAAAGCACTTTTTAAGAATTAAGGGTATGTGAGCTTCCCTGGAAAATATTAGATATTTTTTGCACAATAACAAGAAACACACAAAACAAATACTAACACGTGGACAGACAACACAATATTTAGTTCAACACTGGTTAAATCTAAAGTTGGTTAATAAAAACAAAAGAACGGTTTTTAGAGAATTCTTATTTTGTTAAAAATAACATGAAACAAAAGATTACTTACATTTTGTATAATATACATGTGTATGTATACATACATACAGTTTGACACGAAAGTGTTTTCACATGGGGAAAAAAAAGAATTTTTGTTCTTTGACATTAAAAAAAAACTACTACTATTTCTAATTTTTTTTTAATTACATTATGTTTTCCAATTTGTTGTCTTACAAAAATAACTTTAAAAAAATTAAAAAACTATTAACATAGGCTTAAATAACAATAACAACATAAAAGATATTCAAATTCAACTGACACGAAAGTGTTTGCACACATGCTATTCTTTATTTCTTCTTAATGCTAAATTCGTATTTACCGTTGTTTTCGGCGATTTCAATGTGCACAGCTGTGGCTAATGCTATGTTCTGAACAATTTCGTCATATTTTGTAAGAATCGATTCAATCTTCAAAAAATTTAAACAAATTAAGAATGCCAGGGAAGCGATTGTCATTTGACATTATTCAATTGGTTTATTATAACCACTCCATAGGAAAATCAGTGGCGGAGATAGCAGAAATGTTTATAATATCGAAGAGGACCATTTACAATATTTTAAGCCGCGCAGAAAACAACGAAACACTGGAGCCAAGGCATTCAACTGGACGACCTCGGGCGTTAACAGATAGGGCCGAGCGTATTCTGGCCAGGAAAGTTAATGATAACCCAACAATTTCGACCAGAACGCTTGCCAGTGAGCTGCAGGAAGAATGTCGTATTGACATATCCCGCGAAAGTGTCCGCAGAGCCCTAAAAAGGAACGAGTTTGCATCCCGAGTTGCGCGGAAAAAACCATTGTTGTCGTCGAATCATGAGAAAAGACGTCTAACATTCGCCAGGATGCATGTGGGACATGTGGATTCATATTGGGATGAAACCATATTTTGTGACGAGACGAAGATGATGTTGTATTACAACGATGGACCCAGCCGTGTTTGGCGAAAGCCGTTGAAAGCCCTTGAACGGAAAAATATAATTCCCACTATTAAGTTCGGAAAACTTTCAGTGATGGTCTGGGGGTGTATTTCTAGTAAAGGAGTTGGAGAATTGTGCTTTATCGAGAGTACAATGGATGCGAAACAGTATTTGGAGATTTTACGCACGAATCTAGTGTCCAGTGCCCAATCAATTCCATGAGTAGACGGTTGGAAGCGGTCATTGAAGCCAATGGGGGTCATACTAAATACTAATTTTGATACTTAATATAATTAATAGTGCCTTATTTTGAATACTTTATTTTTGTGCAAACACTTTCGTGTCAGTTGAATTTGAATATCTTTTATGTTGTTATTGTTATTTAAGCCTATGTTAATAGTTTTTTAATTTTTTAAAGTTATTTTTGTAAGACAACAAATTGAAAAACATAATGTAATTTTAAAAAAATTAGAAATATCACATTTAGTAGTTTTTTTTAATGTCAATGAACAAAATTGCTATTTTTTTCCCAAGTGAAAACACTTTCGTGTCAAACTGTATATGTATGTACATATATGTATACAAATTGTAACACAATTGTGTCTGTGCAGACACGTCAAAGCGTGAGCGCAAGTGAACAAAAGCTTTAACAGTTCACTTTTAGCACTGTTTGCTATTAACGAAAACGTTGAAATTAAACACTTTGATTGATTGATTAAGCTGCGAATTTTAGATTTTATTTGCTTTGTCTCTGTATGTATTTGGAATCGATTACCCTATTACCGGACCGCCACATATTCGCGATCAGGGATGATTTCGATAAACAGCATAAAAATTCAAATATAAAAAATTTGAGCCATTTTGCATTTTGAAAATGCAAAATAATAAAAAACAAGTAAGAAAGCTCTATTCGAGACTGCTCGACTACGAGATCCCCTGAACCCTTGGAGTAATAGCTATTTCAATAATTTTTCGCGTCTTTCAGCTTACACAAGAAACACACACACACACACACACACACACGCACGCATGCACACAGGCATACATACACACACATACATACATACACACACACACACATACACACACACACACACACACACACACATACACAAACAATTACATACATATACACACACAAGCATAAACACGCATGGGCTGCAGTGTGCGCTTACTATGAGAACTTAATTGTTTAATAACTTTTTTTATGGACGTACGATCTTCATGAAACTTTTAGATTATGATTATAACATGAATATGCATGTAATTGCCAAAGCACAAGTCTCTAGTATTTGAAATACGCTTTTTACAAAAGTGAGGGTGAGGGGGTGAATTTAGAGGTGGGGGTAAATTTTAACAAAAACCGAAATTGTATAAATTGCATATAAGCATACATTAAAAATTTGGAGACTCTAGCAATAAAGGTGTAGAAGATATAATTTTATAACTGGGTTTCGATAAGGTTTTTTTATCGATAAAAAAAGATCGAGATGAGTTATCGATTTTTAATGATAAACTTGATATGCGCGCTGTAATTACGGACATTTAAAAAAAAAATTGAAGTCTCTAGCTCTTATATCTTCTGAAATCGACGCGTTCATACATACGGACAGACGGACAGACGGACAGACGGACAGACAGACGGACAGGGCCAAATCAACTCAGCTCGTCACCCTGATCAAGAATATATATACTTTGTGGGGTCTGCCACGCCTCCTTCTCCCTGTTACATACATTTCAACAAAACCATTATACCCTGATTTCCCATTGAAAATGGGTTCAGGGTATAAAAAACCATCTGAATGTAAATGCAAAATAGTCTTTTAAAAAAGCCATCGAAATGCAAAATGTAAAATACCTATTTTGCATTTTGCATTTACACTTTAAATGCTTCCATTTCAAATTATTAACAGCTCTGTTCGTTTATTTCTGGAATAGGGTACTTGTCTGCTATTGTTTCTTTATTAAGCTTTCTGCAATCAATAACCATTCTATACTTCTTCTTTTGGGAAGCATCCATTTTTTTGGGAACAATCCACACGGGTGAATTGTAGGGTGATCGGGATGGGCGAATAATTCCGTCCCCTAAAAGTTCTCGTATTTGTTTATGGACTTCGTCTTTTAAAGACATTGGGAATTGGTAAAATTTAGAATATATGGGTGAATCTGTCTTGGTTCGAATTTCTGCTTTTACATTGGTTGTGTAGGTTAATTTTTCGTTTGGGGTGGCAAATAAATTGGGGTATTTCGTAACTAACTGTTATAATCTTTGTTTCTGTTCGATAGTCATGTGATCTGTCCGTGGTATGACAGTGTTAACTGCCTCGATTTTTTTCTGTCTAGGGGTATAAATATGGTATCTTTAATTATTAATTGATTTTTGCTGCTATGGATTACAGCGTCTAGTTCTTTAAGGCTGTCGTTGCCCAGAATTGCGTCAAATGCTTTTAACGTAGGTAATAGGAAAAATTTTACTTGGATATCTTGTCTGTCAAAGAGATTAGCGATTTTATGGTGAGTTATTTTTATATTTCCGCCGACTGTTACGGCCTCGAAAGGCTTTTGATTGGGAATCGGGTTAAAAACTAGTTTGGGCTGTATGTAGTTTCTGTTTGAACCTGTGTCTATTAGTATTTTAAGTATCTCTCCGCTTTTTGTCTTACATTCTATGTAAGGAAGCGAAGAGCAAGTTATTCTAAAAAATTGATGTTATCATGTTCAATGGGGCTCTCTTGTTCGTCCTCATCTTGTTCTATTTGTTGTGCGTACTCTTGTAGTGATTGTTCGTGTTCGGTCTGTTGTTCGTAGCTTTCGATGGTCTGTCCGTATTCTTCCACAGTTATGGAAGCGTTGTGGTAGTCATTGTCGGGATATTCCTCTCCCGTTTGAATATTAAAATTTCGTTGTCTTTTATCTGTTGTATTTGCTATTGGTGGGGGTCTTTTCCCTGGTTCAAAATTTGTCCTGTTCATGTAATTTACCATCCGTGTTTGGATGCTTTTGTCAACGTCCATTGGTTCGGGGCGTGGCTGTGGTTTGGGTGCTAATGTTCGGGACGGTACGTTTGTCTGATGAGGTTGCGTTTGGTAATATTGTTGTCTATGGTATTGGTGTCCCTGATTCATGGTATTTGGCCATGCATGTTGCATTGGTACTTGAGCTCTGAAACTAATTGGTACAGTTCTCATCATCTGAGGGGGATTTTGTGCGTATTGAACCATACGCGGTGGTAACATGGGTGGTGTTGCGTTTCGGGCTACGTTTTTGTGACCTGTTTGATGGCTTTTATTGAAGGCTATGTTTGTTCTATAGTTCTGATTTTCTAATTTTAAACATAAATGGAGGGCTGAGGGAAGGTCTGCTGGTTCCTTTATGCTAAGAATACGTGGAAAGTCTCCTCTCAAACCTCTGATGAAAGTGTCTAATGCTTTTTCCCTGTACATTTTCGTCATGAGTATTTCTGACTCTCTATTGAGTTCCATACATCCTACCTTGTTCAGTATTAAAGTCAGCTGGTTATAGACAACCTGATAAAACTGTTCTACTGTCTGGTTGTTGCCCTGTATTAACATAGTCGTATTCTAATGTATTTATATCTCTTTTATCTGCATAGTGCAGTGTGAGACACTTGGAGATGGCATTCCAATTAAGGGGTACATTGTACGATTCGAGGGCCGCGTCGGCTTGGCCGATGATCTTATTTCTCACTGTATGCAAAATGCCATAGTACATTGGTGATCCAACTTGGCTTGCATATATGGAGAGTATGCGATCCACACTCTTTTTCCATGAGCTAGATTCGGTTTTATTGCCGGAAAATTCCCTAAGACTTTTGAAAATGTCTGGTACTCTGTTAAGGTCGTTCAAATTTTAATTGTCATTTATGGTCTGATCGTCCACGTCATTGAATTCCCTGGAAGGGTTAACTATTTGTCTCACTAGCGTCGGAAGTTGTTCTGTCAAAATTTGAGCGACAGTGGCTGCAATCAACTGTTCTGCGTTATTCGCCATGCCTCTGTTCTGTAAGTGTTCGTTCTGACGGTCTATATGTCGTTGTTGCTGTCTATTGATAATATGTGCACCTACTTGGGTTGTTCGACTAACGCTGGGGGCCTAATCAAATTATTCTCGTTAGCCATACGTTATTAACTGCCTTTTATTGTGGCTTTGATATATTGTTTTATGTTTACAGGTGGATTTCTGATTGAATTTATTGATGGTAGTGTTAGTTTATGATTATCATTAGTACAACTTAATTTCTAAAAATAAATTTTTATTATAATAAATTTTTTTTTTTAATTTAAATTTAAATTTTTTATTTTTATTTTATATTAAGACCAGTGGCTGGTTTTTCCCTTCTACTTTGGAGGGTCCCTTGGGAATCGCAAAGCTGGGCTATTTTACATTACTTTCGTAGTCACTTTAAATTTGATCGCTTTACGCTTTTTTAATTTTGTGTTTTCTTAATATTTTAATTTTTTCTCTTTATTTTTCTCAAAATTTTTCTTAAATTTTCTTAAACTTGTTTAACTTTTATTTTTCTCAAAAATTTTCCTTATATTTTATTGCACTTATTTAATTTTGATTTTTCTTAAATTTTCTTATATTGTATTACACTTGTTCGTTTTAGTTTTGTTAGTTTCGTATTCTTATATTTCTAACTTACAATAATGATGATGTGGCGGTCTTCACTGCTGATCCGGATTTCATCCTTTTTGGCTGTTCCTATTGGGGATCCTGCGACCAGACTCCGTTGAAGTATCCTGTGGGCGGACCGTACAGGATTACCGTCCACCGATGGGCAATCGAACGATCACGTTCCAGACTACCTATAACGAATATCACTGAACGTCGAAGTTACGCGACGTGAGTTGCTTTAGTGATTTTCGGTCGCGCTCGTACAGGCGTTTTGCTGTGTTGTAACGCGATCGAATTTTCGTTTTATTTAAACCGACTCTGCTTTTAACTTGCAGTATCACGCACGTACTAAACGTTTTGCTGTATTGCGCGCGAAGCCGGTCCCTGCTCGGGCGCCAGTTAAGTTCTTTCATTATTTAAACGGTAAAAACAGATGTTTTAATATTTTGCTGCTTAAATGCAGTCCGTTTTATTCAAGAACAAATTTGCAACTAAATTACTTAAATCAATTCTATCCCTAGCTGAGCTGTGGTTCAGTCGACGACGTTGGCAGCGGCGTCGCTCGTGGTGTTGTTGAACCGTTGTGCAATTCTTCTTAGAATTGCTGGAGCTCTGGTTGGCGTGTGCAGGAAGCCCGCTAGACATTGTGTCAGCAGTTTTGGCTTATTGGTCTGATCAGCTTGTTACGTTTTATTTGCGTTGCAACAATTCCCATTGGGTTTTGTTGCAATGTAGAATATTTTGTTTTTAACTTGATGAATATATTTGTTGTTAACTTATACATACGTAGCGCTCAGTTAAGAGAGTGAACAGTGAAGAGTACAATGCGCGCATAGGCAAGGGTACATATGTGTCTATGTATGTCAGAGAACAAGTTGATAGAGAGAGCAATCGGTCAAGCGTATGTGTGTAATTATGCGCATATGACACCAGGCGATTTTTTGTATGCTTGCACATGCGGGTGCGTGCAGGTATGAAAATTGCGCATATGACACTAGGCGATTTTTTCTAAGGCGCATATGACACTAGGTGATTTTTTTCCTGATGCGCATATGATATTATTAAATGAATAAAATAAAATAAAATAAAATAAAAAACGCACTGGAACGGAGCGAAGCGGAACATAGCATGGTTAAGTAAGATAAAGCGAAGCGAAGTAAAAGCAAAGAAGATAAAGCGAAGTCAAGTCAAAT